GGCTTTGGGGCCCTTCCAAGGCCGCAGCCCACTGCCGACATTTTCCCCCAGCTGAGCAGAGGGGCTTGGATCCGAGCCGCGGTGGCTATCCCAGCCATGGCCGGACTCTAGGGAGTCCAGCCATGGCTGAGGTAGCCGCCGTGGGTCAGATCCAAGCTGCGGGGGGAGGGAGAAAACCGGATAATCCATTCCTATTGGAACGGATTAACCGGTTTCCATTCCTATGGGAAATGGTGCTTCACATAACGATGTTTTCACATAACGATTTTTTTAACCAATTAACATCGTTATGTGAGGCACCACTGTACATACATACATACAAACATAAATAAATAAGTAAATAAGTAAGTAAATAAGTAAGTAAATAAGTAAGTAAATAAATAAATAAATAAATAAATAAGATATTGCCGTGGGGAGGGGGGCAATGATAACATCCTCCATGGCTCAAGGGCATTTCTTTCAAAAAGGTTAAGAACCACTGGAATAAATGATGAAAGGACATTTAAAACAAAACAGGATGATTCAGATCACTGTGATTCTATTTCACTAAAGCAGTGATGAATTTAATTTTCTTACTTTTGGGAGGCATTAATTTTATTCATTTCAAAGAAACATAAGCACTTTTTAATGAATTGTTTGATATATTTTTAAAAAGAAAAAGCTTACCACAAGTATAATAAATACAGTATTTAGATAGTCTATGTAATCTGTAAGGAATTGTGAATGTGCCATGACTGCACCAGGCATCCTAAGAAATCATACAGCTAAATACCCAGGAACAGGGCATAACCCAAACCTCTCAGGCTTAAGATGCAGCCCTGAAACTCCTCACCCACCTTGGCCAGTTATTATATAGGATGGTGAAGTGGAGCCAGGACACAGAGGGCAAGAACATCAGAATATTTCTGATTAGCAAAGATGATTAGATTACTTGCCAACATCCTTCCCTAACACTTCCCAGTTCTGTATTTAGTTGCAATCCTTGAAGTAGCTGGAAAGAAAAGAGGTTTTCCTAGCAACACTGCATTGTTCTGAACAATCCATAATATTTGGGGTGGTTTCATCTCTAATGGGCATTTGAAACCTGTTAGCTTACAAACGACCTGCTTTTAGATACAGACGATAAATTATTTACATTGGTCTTAGTCTCTCATCTTAGCAATTAGTTACAACATATAATACACTCCGATCAATTTAGTTTCCTTCTACAAAGATACATCTCGGGTCCAATAAGATTATCTGGAATAATAAAT